CTTTACTGTGGACTGGATGAAAAATTCTTACCGGGCTTGAGACAGGAAAGAGTTAATGTTACATTTTATATGCAAGGATTATCTTTTATTCCACAACGAGACTTTCTTATTGAAAATATTATAAAGCCAATGAAAACATCTGATGTTGAATTCATAAAAGGAAACAACACACTGCTGGGAGGTTTGAAAAGCATTGAAAAATTCCAACACTGCATTGAACTAAGTGTTTTTAGCACTTTGATAACTAAGGCATTCAAGAAAGTGCTAGAGAAAATACATTTTAAAAGTAAGTGTGTGTGTGTTCGTGCATGTTTCGCGGTGTGCCCATAGAGGTCAAAGGACACATCAAGAGCTCCAGTTCCCGTCTTTCACCTTTGTCCAGGCAGGTATTTCTGGATTCTTCTGTGCTGTTTACTCCAGCATAGCTGCCCCTCCAGATTCCACTCAATTTTCCTGCCTCTGCTTCCCATCTTACATGGGAGTGCTGGGATTTCAGATGTACACTATCGAATCAGGCTTTGGATGTGGGCTCTTAAGTCATCAGGTTTGCACAGGTTAGTGCATAGGTTAATGCCTTTACCTGTTTTTGATGAACCATCTCCTTGGTCCAGAAAATAAATAAAAATGAGTTATTAAAATGATTGTGTTGAAGGTATTAGGAATTGAATTTAAAAGATCACTCAGATCTATAGAATTATCATCCAAACCCAGGTAATAAATGCTGGCTACGTAAACATCATTTAACCTTTGTAACAGTCCTACATGTAAATACAAACACCAGGACTTTCAATTAGAAGAGGGCTAACAAATCAACAGAATCGCAAAATGAACAGAATAAAAGAATGAGTACGACCCTTTCAATAATAACTTTCAATATTAATGATCTCAACTCTCTAAGAAAAAGACTCGAACACACAGGTTGGATGACAAATGGATTCCATGTTTTTGCTGCCTTTGGGACATACACCTCACCACCAAAGAGGAACACCACCTTCAGGTAAAAGGCTAGACAGCAGGATTCCAAGCAAAAAGAGCTAAGACAGGACTAGGTATTTCTAATACCTGTGAAATTGTCTTGAAGCCCCAAATGGAAGAGGTACATATTATCACATGGTACTTAACAACAGGACATGCTAAGCAGACATTAGCATTATAGACACACATTCACTATACATGAGGCTTATGGTTTCATAAGACATATACAACTATCTAAAATCATGGATTAATACCAGCACAGTGATACTGGGTGACTTCAGTACCTCACTGTCACCCAAAGACAGATCATCCAGACCAAAAAAAGCAAAAACCAACCAAACAAAGAAAACCACCAAAGAAACATTATAGTCAAATGTCATCATGAATTCAATGGACCTAACAGACATCTACTGAATGTTCTACCTCAACAAAAAAGAATTCTCATTCTTCTCAGCAGCCCAGGGAACTTTCTCCAAAACCCACCATGTATTAGGACACAAAGCATGTCTCAACAAATAAAGAAAACTAATGGTCCTGTATTCTATCTAACTGCAGAATGGCACAAATCTAGATAAACTGTGTAAGGTCTGTCAAGTGGTGCCACGAGTTTATGAATCTTGGGCATCTTGTTTGTCTTACTTCTGTAGTCTTAAAGAAAATCTCAAACCCACAAGTGCTCAGTCTTCAGGTGAGCAAGAGGAAGATGACTTGATAATCCCTCTGGTCACTCAGCTTCATCCTGGATGTTCTATTACTATTCTTGGAGAATCTGGATTGGAGAAGACATAGATCTGAATCTAAGTTGTCTCTTGCATGTGGGAAGAGACTGGTCTCCAGTTGGTGCTCTTGACTTTATTTTACTTGGTGTCCCTAAAGTACAAAGACACCATAAAAATGCTAGGAGGGTGGTCAGTGCGATGGGTCCGTGGGCAAAGGAGCTTACCACCAAGGTTGATGACCTGACTTTGATCTTCAAGATGCACACACATGGTGGAAGAAAAGAACAGACTCTCACAAATTGTCCTCTGATTGTGACACCTCCAAACACACACACACACACAAACACACACACACACTCACACACACACACACGTATATGTATATGCATATGTATAATAACACTGAAAGGTTGTGATACAAGATAACAGTGTGATTCTACGAAAGATGAAACCATTTCCATAGAGGAGACTGACTGTACATTAATCTAGTAAAGACTAGAATCCTCCCTCTATAAAAATTAAGAACAAAGTTCAGGACTGTCTGTGTTTCTAAACCCGGGAGATTAGTGACATTTATTGATATGGGCAGCTATTGTGTCTTGTTTAATTTTCCATGCTGTGTGTTGATTGTAAAGCAAACTAGTGTGGAATCATTTGTATTTTATATATTAGAGTATCTTACATTTTTTGTTGTGTATGAAGCTATTTGTATATTTTCTTTCCTGTGAGCAAAGCAAAGCACTTTCTCCCTGACCAGAGATCCTCACATCAGAAGAATACCACACATTTTAAACAGTGAACCTTTAAGAATGCATAGCTTTTTTTAAAAAAAAAATGTGGAAGCATTTTTATTAAAGTCTAGTTAGAAAGTTCCATATTCTCTATCAATAGTTAGCTGTTCTACAAGCCAATCAGGTGTTACATGTATATACTATTAATTAAAATTTCTTTGACAATCTCATAAATGTATATAATGAATTCTAGATATTGCTACCATTTCTCTCCCTCATGTCTCTTCCCTACCTCTGCTAATCTCCATGAAGCTCCTTCCCCCAGTCATGTTTTCTCCTTTCATTTGGGCATCTTCTTGTTTGTTTTAGTTCTCTAGTCTTAAAGAAAATTTCAAACCCACAAGGGCTCAGCCTTCAGGTGACCATGGGCATGGAATTCCCCATTAGAAGTGGAGGGTTCACAAGTGGACATGCTACGCAGGACAATGGCTCCTATGAATGACCAGGGAGGGGCAGAGCCCGAGGACTCCTCCTCTACCACGACTGTCTGTTGACAGGCCCAGTCTTGTACAGGCTCAGTGCAGGAAGTCATAGCTTCTCTAAATTCATGAATACAGAGTTTACACCATTCCCTGAACATGACGCTTTCAATTCAGGATGATTATGGAATTCAATGAGAAGTATGTCTTTGTTAATTGTTTTAAGAAACAGGTTTGCATTGGCCAGAATCGCTATTTTCAGTTCTGTGCTGAGCTGTAGCTGAACTCAGATGAATGGAATTTGCTTCCATTTTGATTTAAGAGTGTGGATTGAAAATAACATCAGGGGCTGAGGGCTTCATGGTGGAGTCCACACTGGGCACATATAAAAGTGGGATACTATTCTAGCACCCTAAAAGATTATGGTCGGGGTGTATGGTTTAGTGGTTGATGCTTGTTTCTCATAAAGCATGTGCAAAGCCCCAAGTTCTACCCCTAGTACTGAAAATAAAGTAAAATCAAACATTTTGAAAAATGGAACCTAAGCCTATAATCAGTTTTAAATTTTATGTAAAATTTAATTATACATATTATACAAATTATGAAATTACTCTATGTAAAAGACAGAGATGATTTCTGTCTGTCTCTCTCTTTGTATAAATATATGAAGGTACTTGATATATATATATATATATATATATATATATATATATATTCCTGAAATACATATACATTACATATACATCACACACACACACACACACACACACACACTCACACACACAGAGAGAGAGAGAGAAAGACAGAGAGAGAGCAGGTGTCTTCTTCTATCTTTCCCTACCTTTGTTTTAAAGACACGAGTCTTTCTCTGAGCCTTGCAGATTAGGAAGCCTCAGGAATCCTCTTGCCTCAGTGTTCCTTACTCTTGGAGTATAGGCATATACTATCACACCCAGATTTGTTATGTGGTTGTAGGAGATTAGAACTCAGACCCTCATGCATACATAAAAAAATACTTTATCCACTGATCTGTCCAGCCTTTTACTTTAATCTCCACAGAATCAATCTGGACATGATTCTACCCAAGAATCATATTTATATCAAAATACTATAATACATTAAATCATCAAAGCAACTTGGCATTGACTAAATGGCCTAATGAAAACTCACAGAGCGGAGAGGCAATAGTTAGCAGTTATCACTGTTCACCATGGTAAGTTCATAGTTAGAACAGGCCATTGTCTTTCCAAGTCTCCTGTTCACTGATGCCATTGAAAAAGACACTCTAGGCCAGTGAGCCAGCCGCAGGATTCCCATGGAGATGATACTCAGGGTAGCTATAAACTCTGACTTGCCTTAATTATGTATGAGACAGGGTTTTTAGAAGTTTGAATTCCTAAGAGGCATTGCTTTGACAGAGAGGCAGATAGATGTATGTATCTACATATTTATATAGGTAAACATGTATCATACATATTAATGTAGAAATACATACTATGGGAGTTTGAATAAGATATATCTCCATAGGCTCAAGTATTTGAATGCTTGGTCCTCATGGTGGTGGTATTTGGGGAATTTATGGAACCTTTAGGAGGTGGAGCCTTGCGAGGGGAAGTATGTCACTGGGACATACTGCAGTTCACTCTCTGCTTGGTGTTTGCAACTGAAAATGTTGTCTGTCAGCTTCCTGACCCAGCTGGCTGCTGTCATTTGTCTCCTAACATTGTGGACTCTCCTTTTGGAAACATAAGCTAAAATAAATCATTTTTCGCAAGTTGATTTTGTTTGTGGCAGTAACAGACACATCACTAATATACACATATGTAGACAAACATGCGTGCATACTTGCACGTGTGTTTTGGTTGTTCCACTCATATTTATCTATGAGGAAGATATGGTTTACTGTGAAGTCACATTTTATCCTTATCTCCAGTTAGTTTCCTTTTGACTATGGCGGGGGGGTGTGTGTCAGAGACAGAGACAGACAGAGACATAGAGAGAGAGAGACATACAGAGAGATAGATGAGGGGGAAGAGAAGAGAGAGATACACACATACACAATGACATACAGAGAAAGATTCCATGTCTTTCTTTACCTGGTGTTGGCCATGCTACAAATATGGAATCAGAGCCCAACACAGTGATGTTGCATGGGGGATGGACGTCTTCTGGGGTCCACACAGGCATCTGGACAACGTAATCTTCACTCATATTACTACCACCGCCAGTTCTGGCTTCTAACTTGTAAACATACCTGAGGAAACCAAAGCTCTACTCAGCAAGTCTTTGAGGGATTGCAACAATGTTGCAAATTTGTGACAATTTGGGACTTATTTTCTGTGAGAAACACTACTGTAAGCGTACAGTCTGGCATAGACAGTGATCCTCTCTAGAGTGTCGCTCTTGCTACCTCCCGACTCCGACTCCATGCTGAACCCTGGAGACATTCACGGCTTCTCCGGAGGATCTCAGGAATGTCTTGGGGTGTGCTACTGGGCTGTGAAAATTCAATTTAGTCTTTTCTATTTCTAAATGGGTTGAGTTTTCAGGGAGATTCATTTAGAGGCAGGGATATTTAAATTGATCTGTTATTTTCCACAATAAAACTAAATTATTCTCTGTTCTCTGCACTGAAACATCTGTTGATGTAAGGTTTATCTTGTGTCTGCTGAGACATGAATGGGATGAATTGCAAATGTGTGACTTCAGCAGACAGAGCAGAACAAGTCAAGGGGAGGGAGGGAGGAAGTGGTAGGTGATGGGTACAGGCTTGCCCAGCCTCTTTGATTGATAACTTGAGAATGCATCTTTTAATCACCATCTGATAGCTTTTGAAGTTGGACATTTGTATTTTATATATTTAAGTTTCTCATGCTTTCATGCCAAATGAAAGATGAATTATTCCTAGGTGAAAAGGTTATCATATAGACTCAAAACTAACAACAATTTAGCAAGCACTATTATCTGTTACAGCATGGCTCACGAATAAGGAGATTAATTCAACAATTGAGTAACATTTGAATGGGAACTAGTCTGTCTCAACCTTGAACAGCTTAGAAAGCTAATGGTGTGTCGGGCGAAGTTTCCCTCACTCACCTGGTGTTGGGCTCCAGGTTTTTATCAGTGAAACTCTGATCATCTCTGCCCCCCACGAGAAGCAAGCTTCCATTACGCCTCAGCTGATATTGAGAAATGAGGCCGTTGGGCCTTTCTGGAGGATTCCAATATAGCTCCACGGTTGTAGAATTGATGATAATGTGTCTTGGTGTCACCCAAACTCCTGGCAAAAATGACACAATGAGGTTTTTATTGTGAGGATAAAATACGTTCCTGTGAAATGACATGGCTCCTTGCAAGCCAGCAAGCCCCTATCTGTGGATTTAAGTCTCAGTGTAGAGGAAACAAAACCACATTTCCAAACACAGATTTGCTTCTCATCCTGCTTTACTTTGGAATGCCTCCCCACATGCCCTGGGAAGTTTCTGATGTCTGGGCACTACTTTGAGTGTAATTTGGTCAAGGCTGGGAGAAAATCTGGGCATTTGAAACTTTGATGCTCCTCTCTTGGGTTATCTGGAAAGAAGTACAATCAGCACATTCAGTAAGTTAGGATTTCTGCTTGCTCCTCAGACAGTGGCTATTCAACTCTTCTTCCTTGGGATACTTTCTGGCCTCACTTCCCAGTTTCTCAGGATTCTTCACTGCCTCTTAAAGCAGTGGAGTCTCTCTTAGGCTCTGCATCCTCCATGCCTCTGCATCCTCCATGCTTCTGCCACATCCCCTTCCCTCTCTGTTCTCTGCCTCCTCCTCCTCCCACCCCTACCTCCATGATGTTTTCTCATCCATGCTGAAGGCACCCTATGGTATATTTGATACTTTCCCCTGGGCTTCAGACTTATGAATCCAACTGTCTATGTGACATTGCCATTTAGATAAATACTTCCATATCAGAGCTCAAAGCATCAACAGTGGAACTTTGGTTTTTTATATCCACAGTCTACATAGCTCCAAGCTAGGCTGTGGATTGGTTTTCTTAGGCAAAATACATAAACAGAATTATTACCGTAAGGCGCTCAGGACCCTGGCTCTCTGGTCACTGGGCTATGCGGACCCCAAAGCATTCTTTCTCCACTGCTGTCACTCTGCTTCTGACCACAAGGTCTCTCATGTGTTTCTGTGCTAGCATCTGTCCTTTGCAGTTCTGAGGACTGAAGCCAGCCACAGCAATGCTGGGCAACTGCACTACCATGGAGTTCCATCCTAGCCTCATCTCCACCTCAAAGCTGGTCCTTGTGTCTTGGATTTACTGTGTAGCTAGAGACCAGCCCTGATCTCCTCCTCCCTAGTCGAGGATGAAGGGATGCCCTGCTACTTCTGGGCCATCTCTGTTTTAAGCCTTGGCTCTCTCAGTGCTTTTGGAACCCTTACAGCACGTTCTGCTTTATTTCAGGGTAACATGACTCTTTTGTAGTTTTCATGCCGTTCATGTCTTATCGTGGCCTCTCTGCTCCCGATGTCTCTAACCCTGATCTCCCTATCACTACAGTCTCTCATTTGTGGACCTACAGCTGCACCATTTTTCTCTCTCCAAAATGCTTCAAGCTCAGTTCTTGCCTGCCACAAGGATTGTACTTCCCCGAGATACATCTGCTTCCAACACTATAGGTTTTGCATCTTATTTTCAGTCTTCTGTGTAGATTCCTCCCCAATCCATGCAGCTTGCTTGACATCTACTGTCTTATTCTAGCCTTTTCCAAGGGTCTGGTTCAGTTTCCCTCACACACCCCTTTCTATTTCCCTCACGACCCTGAAGACATTATAATCATCTTTTCTTTGGTGTGTCACTTATGCTGTTACAATTGGATGGACTTTCCATCCCTTTGGCTGCTTTAAAGCAAAATTATTTCCACTGAGGCAGGGATCCTTTGTCCGACTTGCCAACCTGTATCTAAGCGTAGAAAACCAGTATGGGTACCATATCTCCCGCTCACATTAGGCAGTCTAGACAAGTTACAGGGAGTACAGAGTCGACCAAGATAAGACTCGTCTCATGGAGTCGATTCTTCAACATAAAGATAAAACGCACACAGAAATGACAATTCAAGGTCCGTGCTTACTCTTTTGAAAACAATGATTTTTGGATCTATTTACTTTCTACTTTCTGTACATGAGTGTTTGTTTGTATGTATGCATGTGTATTATGTACGCAGTGCCTGAGGAAGGCAGGAGAAGGCATGAGGTCCCCTGGAACAGGAGATACAGATGACTGTAAACTACCATATAGATGCTAGGAACTGAAATCAGATCCCTTCTGCAAGTGTAGCAGGTGCCCCTAACCAATGAGCCACCTTTCCAGCCTCTTAGGCATCCTTACAGATGTGGAGATGTTGATGGAGAATCTGACAGTGAAATGGTGCGTCTGCCAGAGGTGTGCCCTGCTCAGATCTTATACCTCTTCTAAGGAGTGTTTACAATAGCCATTCTATCAGCCTTCCTGCAATCAAAAGCTTCTGGCTGAGTGTGTCTCCCAAGCCAGTTACTCTGCAAAAGGTAAGCTCTTGACATTTCCAGAAGAAAAAAAAATGTTCAGGACAAATTATTCAGCATCATGACAAAGAAAGGAAACGGTCTAGATAGATTTCAAAGGGCCTTGGGTGCACCAGCATTCAGAAGAGCAATTGATTTTCTGAGAAGAAATCTGTCCATCTTGTTATCCCTCCACGATGGATACAGCATACAAGGAGGCCTAGATTTTTCTGCCGACAGTTTCAAAAAATCATTTAGAGTTCAGACTCCAACAACACATGAACTTGTTGATTCAAGAGATAAGGCATCAAGATTTCATCTTCTCTCTTGTAGTTCATCTCTCTGTCCTTGAAGGATCTATTAGAAATCCCCAAGGAAGGGTTGAGATGTGCAGTGGGTGGGATACTTGCTACAGAAGTGTGAGGACCAGGGTTTGAATCTCAGCACCCATGGAAAGGCTGATGGAGCAGCCTGCCTACAATCTTATTTCTTGGCAGTGACATGAACTCACTAGAGAAAGCTAGCTAACTATAGGAGCTGATATAGGAAGCCATATGGGTTTATATGGGGACATAGCCTGGATCTATAAGGCACAGAGTGATTGGAAAGACATCGGATGCCAAGCTCTGGCCTCTACATAGAGGCACAAATTCCTGTGTTCATGTGTGTGAGTGTGCCGCCCCCACATACACCCACCCCCCCCATGCATGTACACTTACAAAAACATTGCCAAGAACTAAAAAGGTCGTGGCTTACTTTCCAACATGCACTCCTTAAGGTAGCTGATTCCTGTGGAGGTTCTGAGGAAACAGAAGGAATCAGAATTGGGGAAACATGAAAATGTGATTTCGACAAAAGTCAGGTTCTCCATGCGCTCAGTTGTGTGGAGGCCGGTCAGAGCCACAGGTTCACAGAGTTAATTGGAAAGATGTAGTTTCAGTGTCCAGACAGCAACTAGTAAGTGCTACACATTTATTTTTAGGGTGGATTTGGGCTGCTGTTACCTTCACAGTTTCAAGAAATAGTCTATAGAGTTAGGACCTGTGTTGGGGGAACCATTCTGAATAAGTTCCAGGTATGAATTTGGCCCTTTCTTCTCCCACTCTCTGGAGCTCAGTACCAAAAACCGATCTTATTCTCTGTAATAGAGGGCAGATCTGTATTCTGTATAATAAGAGGGCGTATCTGTATTCTCTATAATAAAGGCAGATTTGTATTCTGTATAATAGAGGGCAGATCTGAGGCAATTCAAGGGAGGAATGTACAGAAGGAAGAGGACTGACCTCCAATGCAAGGATAGGGCTAAGCAGGTGGGAGGTATTGTGGTCAAAAATCAGAAAGTGAACTTTAGTAGCTGCTGTGACTCCATAAACTATCAGGGATGGATACAGATACTCAAATTCTTTTGAACTGATCTTGAATTTTGTGTACAATTACCCACTTCTAAAGTTCCTGCAAATATCCATTAACTTAAAAATCCCCAATATTTACTGTGAATTGGCTTCTTAAAAACCTGTCTGAGCTCAGCTAGTCAAGAATGCACAGGTTTGCAGAGTATTTAACTATTGGCTAATTTACTCATTCAGCCTTCTTGCATGACCTGGCTTCGCCTTCTGTGTCAGGCGCTGTGTCAGGCGCTGTGTCAGGGATGTGTGGATAAAGACATCTTTATTCTTCCAGGACTTCATTGTGTCATAGGAAATGCAGATTTGTAAACACAAATACTGTAATGCCGAATGGCTGAGAGTTAAGGAGAAGTACAGGGGCTGGGAGGGCCCCCAGGAAAGGAGACGTGGCACAGATTGAGGGGTGAGACTGCTGTAAATTGGGCCGTGTGAGATACGTTGAGCAGAAGTCAGCTGGCAGAGGACACAGGAGCAGCACATAAAGTCCATGTCTGGCAGGAGTGAGAAATTGCGGAGGAAGGAGGGTATCAGGATATGACTTCCCATTTCATGGCACACGCTGAGGACCAGCAGATTAGCACAGGTAAAACTTGAGGCGTCTGCTTCACAAAGACAATAAGGATTTGTTTTCCTGGAAGGAAGTGAGATTTTAGGGTGCTGACTAACATGGGAATACTCTTTTTGACATGGAGGAAGAATTAACAGGGAATAAGAGAAAATGGAAAACTAGCTATTGAGAGAAACCCAGTTAGGAGAGGCTGGAGAAATTAGAAAGATGTGAACAAAGGCAGGGGTAGAGGGAACGGAAAAGAGGACTGAACATGTCTTCAAGATTCATAATCAGATTTATGAAGAATGACCTATGATATATAAGGAAGATGGAGGTTTAAGATCAGCGGTGTGGGACTGAGGTGATGGGCGTGGTGCCGCTGACGTGATGGGCGTGGTGGTGCGTAGGAGAACCAGAATAAAGACAGGAAAGGGGTCAAGTGGGAGAGAACCGAGTATTGCAGCTGGAAGGAAAAGCCGGTGGACGCCCAGACCTTTTGCTGGGAGAGAATCCCTATGAGGGCTTAGCCTTCGGCAGCTCTTGGCTTGCATAAATGGGTAAAGCTGGTACCCAAGATCTAGAGTGATATGTACCGAGTACAGGAAGAATCCAGAGGCGTATCAGTACACCAAGGGCAGGAAGGAGATATCTGGAATGAGCCAGAGGCAGAGTGGGTCTACCTCCCCTTTTCTTTTCTCCGATGTTGATACTAGCAGACAGCTGGGCTTCAGTTTGCCTGATCCCATTCTAAAATGAGCTGATCTTACTGGGCTGCTGGCCCCTCTAAGAAACAGGGTAATAACAGATCCAGACTGTTCCCGCTACTTGATAAGAGTGCCTCCGTTTTGTATGAGGATAAGGTTGTAGAGCGGTGTGTGCCCAGTTTTTCCTGAGGCCATACTGCGCGGTAACACTTTATGTTTAGATGTAAACAGAGAAAGATGAGACGAGCCAGGTCAGGCTTCTGTTACTTTTCTCCACATACACTCAGCGCGCTCAAATCTTCAAACTGTGGCCGAATTACTGCACTTGGAATGTGGCATTTCAAAATAATCTGTACTTGACTTAGTAATTCAAAAGTTTATTATTTTTATTATTTTTAATCATACACCCATGTGCGCATGTGCATTTATGTGTGCATGTGGCTATGGGCACATGAGTACAGGTACCTTGGGAGGCTAGAGACATCAGATCCATTGGAACTAGGGTTGCAAATGATTTCAGCAGCCTCATGTGTGTGCTGGGAACTGGACTGAGGTCCATTGGAAGATTAGTAAATGCTCTTAACCACTGTGCCATCTCCCTGGACCCTGGGATAGTAAATTAAAAGGATAAATTTGTCTCTACCTTGTAATAGTCCACTGGCATCTAATGGTGTCGATGGCTGGCACCTCTGTAGCTTCAAGCTAAGGGTTGGGACTGTATTGATTCTACTCACAGGTTATCTGTGAATGCACAAACGTAGCCAGAGCATCTATAACTATGCTGCATCCCACAGGAAAACCGTATTTCTCTGCAGTTACACGTGGTGAGATAATAGCATATTAAAAAAAAATTAAAAAGACTATTTCTCACTTTCCTGTATCATTTAAAGTTATATTTTTCAAGTAATGAAATCTAGACCTTTTCAGGAAGGGGAAGTGAAAAAATAAGTTCATAAAAAAAACCCCAACAACTTAAGAATATGGATTTGGTGAATACGCCAATACCAGAGACCCCTTCCTTTCTTAGGCTTGAGTTTTAGCCAAAACCAGTTGATAGCCTCTTTAGAGATTGCCCATTATCATCAGAGTATCCATTTGATGGTTTACCTTTCCAAAAAATCCACTGCTGCTTCCTTCCTTTCCGAGGAACACCAATCTCTCTGACATGAAGCATTCTTTATATAGAGATCGTCATTAGTGGGCTCCTAGAGAGGAGCCATATGCCCCATATGTGGAATTTTCCATTTTATTCCCCGTTTACTCGTAGGGAGTTTAGTCCTAATATTCCAAGGTACAACTGTTCTTTCAGTAGAAAAGTAATGAACAAGTGGTTTGAGATCCTAACGTGGCAACGGACACCATGGTCCTCGTTAGATACTTGCTTATGTACTCTTTCCATTCTCTCTGTGTAAAACAGGCCAATAATAAAGGTCGACAGATAGATCTCTACCACAGGCCCCTGAGCAGATTTTCTTCCACAAAGTAAATGCTTACACACCACAGGTCCCTCCCCACAGGAGCTCAGTGTCGTCACAGGGTTGAGCATTCCAGATTTTTTTTTTCTACGTGTATATTCATCACTAGAAATGAGTGGAGTCTGCTGAGTGCGTTTTCACACATAAAGGGTGCGCTCTCCGGCATCCTTTTTACGGACAGAGCACGGTATTCCCACAATATGATTTTATTTAGCAATTCTCCTTTCTGCAGTACTCAATTCGCTCTCCACATTTTGACATTGGGCAAAGTGATGCTTCCGCGGGCATCCCGACACAGGTCTCTTCTGCGCGTATGGAAGACTTGCAGACATAAATAATAAAAACGTAACTGCTGTGTTAAGGAATTAAGGTTTTAAATTTATAGACATTAGCAATTTATCTTCTAAAGAGGGGAGAATCTCTCTGTACATCCCCTCAGACAGCCTGGTGGTATAGCTCAGCCATTGTGTGTGTGTGTGTGTGTGTGTGTGTAAATCCCTCTTCTTTGGGATCCACCATAGCCTGTCCTGTCTGCACCTGTGATAGGTTTTAATCTCTTCCTCAGGTTATAGTATTTCCATATACACCTTGTAATTATATTATCATTCTTTTTGGTTGTAATTTCTTGAAGGCAGCAACGATTTTCGTCAGCTTTGTCAGCAGGCTTGGTACTTCCTAGATATTAAACGGTTTAATACTGGAATTTTGAGGAGCTTCATATGCAAGTATGTAGTATATCCCATTAATAAAAGGGCAAAGTTCAATGACTTAAATTCAATCATTTCAAATCATCGATTATGAATGGCAACATAAGGCTTACTCAACCCTGTAGAAGGAGGTGACGCGGAATGTTATTTTAGTTTGTTGTGCCAATTTTATTCCTCCTGCCTTGTTTGCTATGACAGAGTTTATAAAGTTAATCAAAATAGGGCATGCAAACTTCTTCTCCAAACCCCGGATATGTCCTTGTTACCTTGAGGAGCAGCCTGCAGAGTCTGACCTACACAGGGCTCACTGGAAGTGCATCCGACAGATGTACAAGCTGCAAGTATGAAGCTGTAGTTTGTGTATGGCTGGAGACCTAGGAAGAGCCAACAGGAAATAAAGCACAGCTTGAGAGGGTTATCCATTAACAATTAAGCACTGGAAGTTACATTCAGAGTCATAGATGTCCTCTGCGAACATTTATGACTCTTCTTCAAAGCATGGGCTTAATGTTACTGGAGCTGGAACCCACAGGCTCACACAAGCCAGGCAAAGACTCTGTCAATGATCTTGGCTCTCTAAAGACAGAAGCTTCCTACACAGTTGCATTGGTCAAAAGTTCTCGTATGCTCAGCTATGGGAGGAACTTTAGCATTCCCAGATTAATAAAATTCACTCTTCCCAGACCTCCCAGACAAGATGTGATTGAAAATGATCCCACTCCTGTGCCAGAACACTCTGGGATTCTGTCCTGAAGAGCATCAAGGCTCTCCTTGTTTTGTCTGAAAGTCCTTCCTTATATTGTGGTGAAATATTTCCCCCCCTTCCACCCTTGGGGAACCACAGAACAAATCTAATTTCCTTTCCACATTACTTGTTCTTTAAATATTTGTAGACAGTTACCAAATCCCCTTGAGTTTTCTCTCCTCTAGGCTAATCACCCCGGGGCCTGTGACTGGTTTTCCTATGAAGAGGAACAGGAAACAGTTGAGAGGAAGGTTAGACATGGTACTGTCCAGCCTCAAGCTATATTCAGTTCTTACTAACAGCAACACTTTTTTTGGGGAAAAATAAGACAAAGAAAGAAAAGAAAAAGAAACCACTATACTTAGTCACCAGGTGTATCATGGGGGGCTTTTGCTGGCTTGTGTTAGATACATTGCTTTTGTCTTCACACTTAGATTAGGGATATTTCAATGAGGGTACTTATTTACTTCTTTTGCATTTAGAAAAGAATACGGCTCAGTAGTTCCCCAATAAGGCCTCGGAGGGAACAAAGAATGACTTGATCTATTTATGACAGAAGCTGTCCATGGTTATATGTCACTGCTTGGTGGCTGATGACCTTGGCCAAGTTACCTAGCTTCTCTTTGCCTTGGTCTACTGATCTGTAAAATGGGGAATCACTATAGCATGTAGCTTATATGAGAAGATGAAATGGGATGCCAGGTAGTATTTTATATCAGCAGGAGTAACATTAGGGCTCTGCAGCCTTCAACAAGACGTATATTGAGGCTTACAAGCCTTTCTTCGATTCTTTAAAAAAAAAAGCTAAAAGATTAGTGCTTTGTCAACAGTCAGATTATTAAGCTAATTTAGAGCACCTACTCTGTGGTTAGTATCTGTGTTTTCCATAAACGTCCAGCTGCATTTTTTTTTAAACAAATTTTATGTTTGGTGGTATGATTCTTCCTCTAGATTTGTTCCCATGTCTCCCTGTCGTATATTATTGCTTGAGCACTATGCTTTTTAAAAACAGATTTCTACCACTCTAAATAATAACCGATTCCTGTTTTTATTCCCTGAAATAATTCTCTCTTTGCACAGTCTTCATACAGTAGGTAACTTTTTCTAGTCTTTCTTGATACAGAACAATCATCGAAAGAGCCAGGACTTTGCTTTGCCTATTAGTGTATCCTTCCAGTGGTGATAGCACACAGTAGGTGCTTCCTAAATGAATGGAGGAGTCAGCCCTTGGATTCATTCAGGTCTAGAGTGCTAGTTTGGGTTTTCTGAAGAAGCAGTGGGCAGAGGCAGCTGCAGCTGCAAGGCATCCAGCCTCAGGGCCTTTTGTGTCTCCTTCTGGACTTAGAGATAAGATGCAGCTACTTACTTGATTATAATCTTCCATTTGGTTACTAGAGAGGATTTACATAATTTTGATATTTACCTGATTTTTAGATAAAAATATGACTAAGGATGTAAGCCAGTCCCAAATCATATAGGGTTGATAACAGCTTACAGGAAAATGCTAAGATAACAAAACGTAAGAACTCAGGGAAAACAGGAGACATCCATGAACCAGATCCAGAGGTCACAATGGCAAGCAGGTTCAGCCTTGCACTGTCTGCCTTTCCATCTTGCTTTTGAAACATCCTTTCAGCTCAACTGGGTTCTTTCCTAGCTAGAGTACACAGTCTCTGCACATAGGGTTGCCATCTTTGCAAGGTTTCTGGCCTCTACGCCCCAACAGTTCCTGTTTATGAGTTCAGTGTTAGTTTGTGTTAGTTTAGAGAATAGCTCCATGAACTAACACAGCCAGGGTAGGGTCTGTGAGATGTGACGCCAGTCTCATGTGTGATTGCACCAAAGAGATCTTTCCTTATGGTTCCACAAGCGATTTTGTCCACAGCGTCTCCTCTGTTTTTGAAGTGTTTGCTAAATAATAATGAAATCAATGTAATTTATAAATGGTAAAGTTTCCTCTTTTTTTTTTTTGATGTAAGTATGGAAGGCAAAGAAGAGACACTTTGGGCTAGAGCAACGCATCAGAAGTTAAGGGGACTGCTGCTTTCCTAGTTCAATTCCTGGAACCCAAGGTAGACAGCTCACGGCTGCTTATAACTCCAGCTCCAAGGGTATTTGATATAGCTGACCTCATGGGCACATGCATGCACAAACACACACAGACACGTATATTTAAAAATAAAATAAATATATATTTTTAAAAAAGGTAAGGAGTTATTTGTAGGCAATTTATCTTCCAAGAGTGTTTTTCTAGAAATGCTGGGGAAAAAAAAGATAGCCCCACGTCTCTTTGTCCTCTCGTGTTCAAACAGCAGGTTTTAAAGACAATTTTATCATGGATATCTGAAGAGAAAATGCATTCTTAGGGAGGTGTGCCAAAACTGATGAGGCAAATGGGACATTTGTAACATAGAGGTTTACAAGAAAATTCTTGACCATCAAAAAGAAACTGTCATTTCCTTCTGAAACAGCAAGTCCACAAAAGGAACAAACATTATGAATATTTTCACTGGGAATACCAGGGTATTTGGAGTACTGAAACTTGACTCCAATGTCTTATCCTGGAGATGAACCAATTCCAGATAGACTGTCCTAGATGGGTTTATTTTGCTGCGATGACTGAAAGTTACTTAGGAAGGAAAGGGTTTATTCCATCTTACAGATTAGAGTCCAGCATTATGAGAAAGGTGCTCAGACAGGAACCTCAGGCAGAATCTGAAGCACAGACCATGAAGGAGTGGTGCTTTCTTGCTTGCTACCTTTCTTACACAGCCCAGGTACAACCTGCCTGTGGGGCAGTGGGCTGTGAGAGGCCGCTGGGTGCCTGGTTGAACACAGGCCTTGAACCCTGGACCCTAATGGGATGGAAGGTGTTCGGCTTTGCTCTTGGGCCCCTGGTTCCTTTCACTTAGTTTCAGCCCGCCACAGCCCTTCCCACAGAGAGGTCTATGGCCTTTAGTCACGAGGAACAGTGCCTCAGGCTCTCCAACATGTAGATGAGGTATCTCCAAGCTCTCAGACCAAGCCAATAGGGGTTATCTGCTGCCAGACCCTGACCCACCCCAAAACTGTATATAAGAACCCTATTCGGGAGAAGTAAAAAGTGTGCAAGAATCATCCAGTTGTCCGAGAGTTTCTGTTGCAAGAGCTGTGACACTTGGGAAGAGATCTGCTCTCCCCAAGCACCTTCAGGACACTCCCCTCCCCGCTAGCTAGTTGGCTTCTCACTGGCCCAGCCTGGACCTGCTCAGCACAGAGAGACAGGTGCAACACCTGGGAGCTACTGGGTGGCAACAGCGGAGATGTGGGCAGAGGTAGCAGTGGAGGCAGCGGAGGTGATTTCCCTTCCCTGCTCGCACTCTATTCCCTTGGCCTGGATCCCTGCACCCGATCGGGCCAGAGATCTTCGTGGGAAGCCCTCCAGATCAGGGACCCATACCTGCCCAGAGATGGCACCACCCACAGAAGCCTGAGCAGTTAATACCTCCACCTCAATCTCTGAAGACATGACCACAGCCAATCTGATGGAGGTGGTTCCTCAATCGAGAGCCCTCCTATCCCCCCTCCCCCTCCACAGGATGTCTAAGCTTGTGCTGAGCTGACAGAGACTATGACATACATTGAAGATCTAAAATGTGAGAAGCCCAAGTTCATAAGCTTCTAGAAGAAAACACAAAGCAGACACTTCAGGAATTTGGTGTGGATGATGATGCACTGGCTATAACCCCAAAGCGTAGGAAACAAAAGCAACAGTGGGCAGACCCAGCCTCATGCCCCTTCAAACTGAAAAGCTTCAGCACACGCAGAAGCCAATCCACAATGTGAAAGGACAGCCTTGGAATGCAGCAAACATCTGACGAGGTCTTGCTATCTAGGGCATAAGAGGAACTGGAAATTAACAGTGAAAACTAAAAAAAGTCTGGTTAAACTGGGCAAATAATTGAAAAGAAATACAAATGGCCAACTGGAAAAAATGCTCAATGTCAATTGCCCATTCTGGAAGCACAAATCAAACCAGTTACATCACAGCACTGTAGTCAGAATGACTACATATAGAAAATGAGAAAATAGAAAATGCTGGTGAGCTATAGAGGCAAAGAAATGATGCTGGGAATATACATAATTGCTACCACTATGGAGAGAACAGACTGATCAAGCATATGATCCAACTATCACATTGCTGGGTACACACACACACACACACACACACACACGCACACACACAGGCACACACACACACACAAGATAAATTCGCTATATGGAAGTTAGTTCCATTTGTGCATGGATATTTATTGCAGCCTTTAAAGTCTTTAAAGACATGGAATCAGGGCTGGAGAGATGGCTCAGCAGTTAAGAGCTCTGACTGCTCTTCCAGAGGTCCTGAGTTCAATTCCCAGCAACCACATGGTGGCTCACAACTATCTGTAAAGGAATCTGGTGCCCTCTTCTGGTGTGTCTGAAGAAAGCTAGAGTGTAGTCACACACGTAAAATAAATAAATAAACCTAAAAAGAAAGAAAGAAAAAAAGAAAGAAGGAAGGAAAGAAAGAAAGAAAGAAAGAAAGAAAGAAAGAAAGAAAGAAAGGAAATTACTGTATCCAAAAAAAAAAAGACATGGAATCAATTCCAT